CTCTCTCTCTCTCTATCTCTCTATCTCTCTCTCTCCATTTCAGAAGAGCTATGGGGCTCCAAACTTGTGCCGTATAATGATACCCGGAAAATCAAATACCAAATTAAATCGAACAATTCGTACTGTAAGCTTTCAGAAAAAAAGCCTTTCTCGACAGAACTGTCCCTCTGGCAGTCGAACACATACCGACGAACACACCCTTATTATGCCTATAAATTGCAGATACAGAGAGCAGTTACAGGATAATCTCTTAATCCGACCGACAACAATGTTTGTCTAGCTTTTCCATTCTACTAAATCCAATTGGAATGTTGTAAAACCAGACAACACGCAACACTTTTCGTTAACTCTTTTCCAAGCTTTAAAAGCTTTAACTTCACCTAACCAGCTTGCTAGTAAAATCTTCTACAGGAAAGTGTCAGGGCACAAGGCAAGAGGAAGACAAAGATTAAAGACCTGGATCCAGGTTGTGAAGGATACCCTGAGACAGGGTCGGCTTGTGGGGCAAAATAGTGGGGGTGCACAATTAAGCAACAGCAGGTTGAAGATAGTCAAGGGCATAGTAAATGGGATGGTAGGATCTTTGGGTTGGTGAAGGACGACCTTATGCTTTTATTTTCATTCTTTTACTGGTCGCTTTGATTTCTAGAACTAAATATTATGTTTGTTAGCTTAACATCAATTTCTTTATCCTGCATTGGAACTGAACACCCGAGTAATAGCTTTCACCACTCCACTACAAAACCACTCAAAGACACAACTCATACTCATAGAGCGGTAAGTATGTCACGTTCACCTCCCCCAGGTTCACGGTCACAGAGTCGCTTAAAATAGTCAAAACAATGAACCAATCACAATTCACTTGAGCACTCCGCTGGATTGCTCCGGGGATCAGGTAGTTTTGGCAATGAATAGTATACAGGCTATCGTGTTTATTTTTAGACTGCCTGCTGTGGGCTATGTTTCGTGGGTGCACATTTGAGTTGTGCCGTCTTGTTAATATTAATGTACCACCAAACTCGCTACGAGAGTCGTCATCGCTTGGGTTATCCCAAAGAGCGATTTATAGGTCAGATAGCCACTGTTGAATATTCTATTACGTTTAGTTAAAGCGCATGGACTTTGGCATGGCATAGTAGATGTTTTACGGCGCTTTTGACACAGAAATGACAATTGCAGCGCCAGCGAGGACTTTGTTTTGATATTATATTTGGCTAGTGCTTGTTTCTGACTTCTTCTATTTCATGTTTGTGTGTGCTTTTCGTAATAGAACATTAAACATTTTGGGCGGCACTGCACGACCGTGCTCTAAAGACGAACTGCGCCTGCCCTGAGAACATTCAATATCCCACCCAGCCAGGCCATCAAACTTGCTAGAGACAGGAAGCTCTAATTTGGAAGAATTATGACTAATGAAAGTCATACTTTTACTTCATTTCTCTAACAGCGGATGAAAGGTTTCCAGTTTTCTTTTTCTTCCCTTACCGGAAAAAATCCGAGGGCTGTTTTCTTCGCTTTAATAATTGAACACAAAGAACTAAATAAAGGTGAGTGAATTTGCTTTGTTGCTAACCGTTTAGTATACATTGTATGCAGATGCACAAACAATTTTGAACGCTTTTTATCCTACAAAAGACCTTATTTTACTTGTTTTGTTGTGGTATACATGCGTATATCGAATACAAATTCTTGAGCTTATTGCTATGTTGGCGTGGATATGATAGCCAGTTCTGGATATACACGAAAAGCAAAGAGCTCCTCTTTTGTGTTCGCGAGCTAGAACTGGACATACGGAAGTGAACAGAAGAATAACTCCAAGGTCACACATGTGGTTATCGCTGAATGTTTCGAGTGACAAATCGTCCTTCTCTATCCGCGAATATCCGCACCTTGGATATACTCGTTTACAGCCGAAAAAAGGACTGATCGAGCGTGTACAACACAATACGAAGAAAAAAAAATCCAAATAAAACACAAATAAAATCTAATACATTAATTATTACTTATTCTGCAAAAATCAAATGTTCGGCATTATGCAACGATTCTTCACATTTGGCCCCATGGAACGCTTTTTTTTTCGCTTTTACTCAAAACATGCGAAATTGATTTTACGCGGACATACTTGAAACAGTAACTCCCCACCACCCACCCTCAATGCCCAGGGATTTCACGAATTGTTTCATCAGGCATAGCTTGATATAAAAGGTGGGGGAGGGGGGGGGGGAGGGATTCATGAATTTTATTTATTCACTTGTGGTTCATTGATGACATTCTTCTTCGCCTCAACTTTAGAGCTGTCCTCACTGGCCAAATCTTTTGCTCCTAGTGTTGTGTTTTTCCCTTCATCCGACTTGTCGCCACGTTTTGTTTTGGTACGCAAGATGGCGTTTTTAAGAAGTTGTGGTAGCGAAAAAAATAGAAAGAGATCAGAGTGATTTCTGTGGAAGTAATGAATTATAGAACAGAATCCCAGGGGAATATCATGGAAGCAATGAATTATAAACAGAATCCCGCTTGGAATATCATGGAAGCAATGAATTATAGAACAGAATCCCGCGGGGAATATCATGGAAGCAATGAATTATAGAACAGAATCCCGCAGGGAATATCGTCACGTGCCACAGTGTGAGAAAACAATGATATATTTGAAAACTATTTTACAAAGAAGCAAAACACTGTCGATAAGTTATTGAAACGGTAGAGAGGGATGGATATTCTATCTTGATCAAAAATGTCCCCATGAACGACGATATTTTGAATGAAGCAGGCGCGTTCTCGCCTCATCATTTTAAAACGAAAAATAAAGGCTCAGGACTTGCAGTCTTTTCTTTTACCACTCATTTTCATAGATACTTTCTTTTATTTTATAGAATTTAAATATATTTATTTTCCCCAAAAAATTGTGTGTGTGTAAATTTGCATATTTTAATTGCGTTTTCAAAGGCTGAGTTAAAATCTAAAAAAAAAAAAGAAATGAAGTTGGTCTCTACGGTGTGTATTTACTGAGAACTGAAAATTACGACCCAGCCGCCTGCAAGTTTTCGGAGCGTCTTCAAAGACGCTATGTAGTCTCGTTCGACGTGACTCCACATCACACTGGCGTCGTAAAGAATCAAGGTACATGTATCTTTCAGCGTCCAGGCGCCGCGAGTCGTGCAGGGACAGCCCTATCATAACCACTACTGTGTCTTTTCTTATAAGAGTACAGCAGAGGAAGTAGTGGAGTTCGTGTCAATGACGTCCCCCACGTAAACGAACGTGGGCTGTGTGTGCCCACCATGTGACGCTGAACCTCAAGGGCAAGACACGCGCAGTTCAACAGACAAGTGAGTACTATTTGAGATTCACATAGAGGCGTCTCGGCGGTCGAAGGAGGAACAAGCTCGCGCTGAAATATGGGATCTGGGCGGTGTTATATAGGCCCTTCTAGAGCTAGTGGGGAGCAGGTTGGGGGCCCAGATTGTTCATGTAAATGGGAGCACGCGGCCATGCCTGATTCGAGGGCGGAGGCCTTCATGCCTGACACGTGTGACGTCCCTGCCGTAAGCTCTAGTATTATACCATGTAACTTCTTTGTATAAGTACAATTAACTCATGTTTTATTCGGAGTAAAACTAATGTACTAAAACACACAGCTACATCATTCTGCTTTAACTGAGCCCCAATCAAATCTTTTCTTACCGTCTTTCATGAAGAGGTCAATTTCAAACGTGTAGGTCCGCACAGAGAATTCTTCCACTGGGTACAGATTGCCATCGATAATCAGGTTACCATGGTGATCCCCACAAACAATGCGTAACTCGGAAGAGAAGAAGGCAGCCGCCTTTTCATCCCAAGATAACAACACCGGATCTTTCTGAAAATGAAAACAATTTACGCTTTAAAAGTATGTGTAGGTTGACAAGCCACACAATCAGGAAAACTAAGCTGGTCTGGACGACTGACAACAGGAAGGAATGGGGTGCCGCAGCCATGACCGTCAATATTTGCGCCAAACCTGACATGACGTGAAAGAGAAGGAGAAGGAGAAGGAGAAGGAGAAGGAGAAGGAGAAGGAGAAGGAGAAGGAGAAGGAGAAGAAGAAGAAGAAGAAGAAGAAGAAGAAGAAGAAGAAGAAGAAGAAGAAGAAGAAGAAGAAGAAGAAGAAGAAGAAGGAGAAG